TACACTATCAAGAAAGTATCGTTTTCCTTTATCAACCGATGTCTACCAGTTATCCTTGACTAGTCAAAATCTTCTTGATTTAATTGTTCTTTTAATTGGTGGAATGATGAAAATCTAAGAGATCTCTCTGTAGTTTTGTAGTTCAATAACTTATGAATTAGTTGATTATTAAGAATGCATACATCCAGTTAGGCAAACACATACACAGATAGATAGACGATATTCAATATGCAAATTTTCTAGACCTCCATATGGACGTAGTTCTTGTGTACCTAGACCTCCATATGGACGTAGTTCTTGTGTACCTAGACCTCCATATGTACGTAGTTCTTGTGTACCGAGACCTCCATATGTACGTAGCTCTTGTGTACCCAGACCTCCATATGTACATAGCTCTTGTGTACCCAGACCTCCATATGTACGTAGCTCTTGTGTACCTAGACCTCCATGTGTACGTAGTTCTTGTGTACCTAGACCTCCATGTGTACGTAGTTCTTGTGTACCTAGACCTCCATGTGTACGTAGTTCTTGTGTACCTAGACCTCCATATGTACATACTTTTTGTGTTCCTAGACCTCCATATGTACATACTTTTTGTGTTCCTAGACCTCCATATGTACATACTTTTTGTGTTCCTAGACCTACATATGTACGTAGTTCTTGTGTTACTTTTTTTTTGTATCTACAATCTTATATCATTTGATTGTTTTATGATTTTGATGTGATGCCTTTTCACCGTTCTGTGTATTTAATATTTTGTTTTTATTGTTTGATTAATTTATCTAGGCTTCTGCTCTCTCAAGTTTTTCATTATTTTTCAAAACTTCGTTTACTGTTTCTTGAATATCTTTGGGATTTATATTCTAGTGCTTGAATTTCAAACCTGTCCTAATTAAAACCTCGTGCACATTTTTGTGTGTGTGTTTACGTTCTGAACCTTTAATTTAAAACTTGCTCTCATTACTACCTCATGGACATATTATTGTGTTAACATTCCAATGTTTTAATTTAAAATCTGCTATCTTTACCATTTCACGTACCTTTTCTTTTATTTACCTTCTAATGCTGTTGGTTATATAAGTTGTGCTCATGGTGTAAAATGTAGACCTTCCATCAGGATTTTCCAGTACGAGATTTCGAGAAACTGTTAGTTATTAAGATTCCATTTTCAGTTACAATAAAGAGGGCTTGTGTACCATAAATCGTATATTGGAATTATTTAGCTTTAAAATTTCTTTCACGAACTGCAATTTGATTTTTACTTTGTTTTGGGAATTCCTACAATATTTCAGTTTTTTCTTTTTATTCATAGGTGTCGTTTCTTCTACGTGTTTTGGTTTGCTATAATGTTTTGTGTTTAGTTTTTCTTCGGTGCTTTTGTTTCTTCACTGTTGTCGTAAGATTTGTGTTCATAATTGTTATTATTTTTCTATTTTGTTCCCGCTCTTTATTTTTGGCTTATTGTGATATTTTGTTTCTTTTCTTTTCAGTACTGTTGTTTCATCACTTTGTTTTAACATGATGTAATGCATTGTGTTTTTTCCTTAATACTTTTGTTTCTTCTTCGTTTATATTTTCGTACATTTTTTTTTTATTCTATGCAACTGTTTCATCTTTTTGTTTTGACAGGTTGTAGTATTTAGACTTTGTTTTCTCTTCAATGTTCTTATTTCTTCGCTTTTGTTATAAAACATTTTTTCATATTTTTTATTATACAGTATTGTTTCGTTTTTGTTTTTGTGTTATTATCGTATTTTCGTCCATAATTTTTCTCAGTAACTGTTCGTCGATTTATTCGCTTGTTTTATGTAACTTGTAATTAGTTATTTAAATATTCCAAAATTATTCGAAAAGTCACAAAAGTTTTAAATTTGTTTTCTTACTTGTTGAATGCTAATAGTATTATGTAATTCTAATACATAATACTAATAGCATTCAACGAGTAAGAAAACAGTATTATGTAATTCTAATACATAATACTAATAGCATTCAACGAGTAAGAAAACAGTATTATGTAATTCTAATACATAATACTAATAGCATTCAACGAGTAAGAAAACAGTATTATGTAATTCTAATTTTTAAAAAAGCTATAAAAATATTTATTATACCGAGAAACTTGTGTTATTAAATTTACGGCCGAAAATATCGTCAACAACGAGAAAGGATGATGAAACAATACATTATATCGTCAACAACGAGAAAGGATGATGAAACAATACATTCTATTGTCAACAACGAGAAAGGATGATGAAATAATACATTATATCGTCAACAACGAGAAAGGATGATGAAACAATATATTGTTTCATCATACTTTCTCGTTGTTGACAATAGAATATATTGCTTCATCATCCTTTCTCGCTGTTGACGATAGAATGTATTGTTTCATCATCGTTTCTCGTTGTTGACAATAGAATGTATTGTTTCATCATCCTTTCTCGCTGTTGACGATAGAATGCATTGTTTCATCATCCTTTCTCGTTGTTGACAATAGAATGTATTGTTTCATCATCCTTTCTCGTTGTTGACGATAGAATGCATTCTATCGTCAACAACGAGAAAGGATGATGAAACAATACATTCTATT